ATTCTTAAAAAGTACTTTAAACTGTATAAATACAATTGAAAGTGATTGACCAATCAGAAGAAAGTTATCCTATATGGTAGTTCCTATAGTATGTGATGATCACGTGCCATATGTATTCCTGAAAATGTAAGTCCTCCGCTACGCTCCGGACAATAAATCTATATAATATTTTAGTGTTTTAAAATCCGATAACCAATATAAAACCTGTCCACCGTGCATACGGTTTTGAAAGGTTTGAAGTATAACATTTATTGTATTGTATTTCAAAAAAATTTATTTAACAACTTTGGGAAAATTTATTCTAATTAACTTACAAATTAAATTATTATCGTTATGATTTTAAAGTGATATGTTTCATTTATAAATTTTAATAAAAAAACATGATTTATATTCTTCGTTTGTTTTAATTAACATTATATTTCTTTTGTAGTCCTAATAATAATGAAAAATTAGAAACATTGCATATAAAATATCAAATAAAGCAGCCTACAAGGGAAACTAATCCTTTATATTTAATATGATGCTGAAATAAACGTATATTCGAAAAATTAGGCATGCCATACCCGTCGTGCTCATAAACATGCTTTTTTCAACCAAAAAGTTGATCTTACTCGTCTTTTTATGTTGCTTGATTCCCGACATGCAGATATAAAACATGTGTCACATAACTAGGGCTTACACAATAGCCTTGTGGTCGTATCCCATGCCTTGAACTCTACTTAGGAACTCAAATCTTTAAATTACATCCTGAAAATCAAAAATTGCTACCTTAACGTTAAGATTCTTTAAAACTACAAGAAACATAGTATGCCCACTTTAGCAAAATACAACGTATTTTTTATTATAAAGGAGACATGTCTGAGTTTACTTCTGACATCAATTTTCTATATAAATTGAATTTATGTATACGTAGCACGTTATTCATACAATTGTAATATTTATGCGGAAGAATGAGTAATCAGTGGCTAGGATTCACAAAATTTGCTGGTCGTACTACTTCAAAGAGACAAATAAAATGAATGAATATACATTATTTCTACAAATAACAGTGATTAAGAAATTACCATTTATCTAGGCGCATTTCATTGAGCTAATTTATTTGACCACTTCATGCACGATTGTACCGCCAATGTTACTTTAGTACGCCTACTTCTTCGTAAATCTTGATCCGTACGTGAAGAAACTATGTCCTAATTTCAATTTGCAAATTATTAGTCTAATGTTTAATATTACAGTAAATAATTTAAATTAAAAAAAAACTTCATACCTGTTGTCGATTACTCATACCCAAAGTGATTTCTCGGTAATATGTAGTCAATTCGTTATTCAATGCCAATTCACGCGATCCTTTGGTGTTAAGCCACCGTTGCAATTCGTCGATCTGTTGAGTGATTTTATAGCAATGCATTAGATAAATGCAACTACACTTTTATCAATCACGACAACAGAGTGAAACCTAAGAGTGGTTATCTTATTGATGCAAATCATTACAAAACTAATATCGATATCGATATAAGATCTGCATCAAAAAGGTACAAAACTCGGTTTCACTTTTTAACATCATATTTAAACCTGGCTTGCGTCTTCATAGTATCCCCACTGTGCTTGGTTATCGGAGCCTAAATTACAATCGATGTCCTCAACTTTTCTTCTTTTACTAAATCGTTGTTCTTCTTTTTCAGTCATTGCCTGCAAATCATGAGCACTAGGTATCTCTACGAAAATTCTTCCTGCACCATATCTTTCACCAACTGCTTCTCCAATACAATCAAAATAGTAATATTTATTATAGAAACGGTCATATCCCAAAGGCGTAGTTCGTGGAAACGCGTATTTGCGTTTTTCTATTTCAATTTCCTCTTCCTAAAAAATTTAAACATTATTCTCACAAATTCATCATAAATATATTTAATTCTTAAAATATAATTACTCTTGTTTGCATCACGGCTTGTTCTTCCTCCAACTTGTGTTTTCGAGTCATCAAGTCATTGGCTGTTATATTAACCAATGTAATTTCATTGGTGTTGGTTTCAGAAATTGATTCAGATGGGATGTTTCCTTTTGAAATCTCCGTGAAGGAAGATAAACTATGTAGTGTGATTTTTTTTTTCTTAAAAAAAAAATATATATATCCTGCAGAAGATTAAAATTAACAATACTTTACATTTGCCGTTTCTTTTTGATTATGCCATTCTTTTCCTTGTTAAGTTCTGTTAATTTCTCGACACAATTTTCGATATGACTATGAATGGCTGAAGTCTTTGCTACAATATTAACTAAGAAACTCAGAATCTGTAGTTTGTCATGTATCTCGAGAATTGCAAAATTTTCTTCAAAATCTTTCTCCGAATAAGATCTATTTGATACCAAGCGTAAGAGTACGTGATCTAAATTCGGCATGGATTCGTGTGCGCTTAACTGTAAGAAAGATCATAACTTGGTACATCTGTCTATGAAACTGAATAAGACCTAATTAATGCAACTAAAAAACGCTTATGATTACCTGTTGAATGCATCCGATAAGGACGCTCACCCAACCTTTCCGCCCATCTTTAAGGGAAATTAGTTTTTTATCCCATTTTTGTTCTAATTTTTTTAATATTTCTCGAGATGAATATGTGTCGTCTTCGCTATCACTATCTTCTTCTTCATTATCCATGTTACTTTTAACAGCAACTTTAAGGGGAACGATTTGTCGGTTTTTGCCCTTTGAAATCCATTTATCTCTAATAATTGCATTTAATAATGCAACGTGCATTTCAACCACTAAGTTACACCTGGGACTTGCTACATTATGGCAAAGTGAAAGCTCAAAATCATCAAGTGTACAAAATGACAAGAAAAGTGACCTCCTATACATGCAGATAATTGTCGATTAATGTCTATCAAAAGAAGTTGTTTTTAATAACGTTAATTTACCCAAAGATTATTAAGAAATTCCAAATTGCTAGCATGGTTCCTACACATTCTTGCGGAACGTTAAAAGTTTGTCTCAATGAAGGTTTTTTTAAAAACATAGATTTTATATCAGGTGGCACTTCCAAATCTTCAACTGGATACTTGACTGGCAAAGAGATAAGTATAACACATTATATTATGTATTAATCCAATGATCTGTTGTAAGTAAATACAGAATATTTAACCTTTTTTTGCTTTAGCTTTTTGAGGTTTTTGTTCTACTTCCTTTATCACGTTTTCTTTTTCTGCTTCACATTCAAGCTCTTGTTTTTTTCTTTCTTTTGCATTTTCATCGATTTCCTTATTATGTGCATTTTTATCTTTTTTGTGTGTATAGCTTTGTTTCCCAATCAAGTCGCACGTCATCTTTCCTCAATGAGTGAGAAAATAACAAACATTGGGATCGGAGATATTTATATTGCAGATCAGACATACGCGAAACACGGAAACACGCATAATGTGACAGCCAATAATCACGTAACTAATATACCAGCCAAATCAGACTACTGTGACACGAAGAGTAACATAGTCATGGCGCGAGAAAACCCCACCAAAAATTGAAAATTTTGACCAATCGAATTTCAAGATTAGGTCTAACTTAAAAATTGAAACGAAATCACTTTATAAAAAATAAATAAAATAAAATAAAATAAATAAAATAATATAAAATAAAAAACAATAATAGCTATAAATTTTAATTAGAAAACCACTTCTGCGGCCTAATTAAAAAATGTTCCTTGTGAAATTTTGCTGGCAAATGTTTATTTTTGACTATTACGTTACACCCAATCTTATTATCCGGCATAATATTCGTATAATTTTACCTTATACAATAGCATATAAAATATGTAATTTGCATAGCATTATCAAATCAGCCTAAATTACACTTTAATTTCGGATGCCTTGAAATCATCTTACGACCTTTTCCGATCGGGCTTACTCAACAGGAGCGACCGTCATCGTTACACAAATTGCAGATCACTTCCGAGATCCTCCCACCCAATCAAAATTACG